TTTAAATGGCACAAAGAGCAGTTAGGCATCCAAATCCCATTGGCTTTCAGTTAGTTTCTTTGTGATATCTGTTGGAGTTGGGCTTTTGAAAATCTGTCTGTCGTGGTAAGAGCAAGCAAATAAATTTTGTGCCTTATCTAGTAAATTTTCACAACAGTTTTGTGAGGCTGTATTATAACTTCGGTGGTAGTAAAGGTGTCTATAAATGGGTATGTTTTTAACTTCATAATACGTCTCCATGTTGAAAGTGCTTTACAATCCTGAGTTAACACTGACAGAGCTAAGATTGGTTATTTCCAGATTAAGATCTGAGACTTTGATCCTTCAACTGCATTTATGCAGATGCAAAGCTTCATCAGTATGGTTTCATGTGGGTGGATCCAATTTGTATTTATAATATACAGTCATGGAACCTCAACATTTCATTTTTGCAGGAAGGGGATGGATTTCTTTTTGTTTAGGAATTTTCTGTTATTCAGTGGAGTTCATCTTTCAGGTCAGGTGGAAATTTGAAGATCCAGATCTGTATAATTATATACACCTCTACCTCGATATAACGCTGTCCTCGGGAGCCAAAAAATCTTACTGCATTATAGGTGAAACCGCGTTATATTGAACTTGCTTTGATCCACCGGAGTGCACAGCCCCTCCCCCCCCCCCCGGACGCACTGTTTTACTCCGTTATATCCGAATTTGTGTTATATCGGGTTGCGTTATATCGAGGTAGCGGTGTATATTATTAAATACATACATACATACCAGCAAATCTCTCTGCTTCTCTGCCTAGCCATTACCAGTTGACACTTTCCAGTCAGTGTCATGCTAGAATTGGGTCTTCAAGGAGTTGAAGGATGATAGAGTTGTGATTGTATAGATTACCGGTAATTTGGGGAATTTCCATTCATAAAATGTGATGTGGAAGAAGGTATGAAAGCAATTTTAAGAATCCAGTATTTCTCCTTTCCCTTCCATATAAGATCATGTTGCTCTGCAGTGTCTGCACTGTTTATCAGACATAGTTCTGACCAAAGTTTAGTTGTAATTTGCTAAACACAGATAAAAGTCCATTTTACAAATTATACACAGCTTGAACATTTTGTCTGGAAAAAACAAACAAAAACAAGACACTTTTTTTGGGGGGGTGGACGGGCGCTAAAGGGAGGGGAAATTTTCAAAATGTGAATTTACAGCGTTTTTCATCCCTGTACATTAAAACTGACCAAACCTACATTTATTTAATTTTGCAAAAGTTTCTTGAGCTTGAACCTACAGAAGAAACTTTTTTTTGTACAGTTTCTGCAAATCATTTGCTGAGTATAATTGCCCTCGTCTGCTCTTGTTTTTATGATAGAGAAAAAGTAATAGTAGTAGATGGCTAGGCTAGCGTAAGGATAAAATGGAGTGTCTTATGCCAAAACTGAAGGAAAGAGGGGAATTATATTGGGCAGGTAAGCAAGGAAAATGTCATTGAGCTATATTCTGATAAGAGACAGAAGCAGTCCTGAGAAAATTGTCCAGAGGTTCAGCCTTGTAAATATTGGGGAGTGTATTAGCAAAAAGTTTGCCTCTTTCTTTTTACTGTGGTGCATGACCTCCTGGGAGCTGTCTCTTTGATTCAGCTATGAATTGGTCCTAGGACTGACCCTTGGGGAACACCACTGGTTACCCCTCTCCATTCTGAGAATTTACCATTTATTCCTACCCTTTGTTCCCTGTCCTTTAACCAGTTCTCAATCCAGGAAAGGATCTTCCCTCTTATCCTGTGACCACTTAATTTACGTAAGAGCCTTTGGTGAGGGACCTTGTCAAAGGCTTTCTGGAAATCTACCGTATATACTCGATCATAAGCCGGTTCGTTTATAAACCGGCCCCCCCAAGATGGATAAGTAAAAATGGAAAATTTTTATGTCCTGTTCATAAGCTGACCCTATAATTCAGGGGTCAGGAAATTTTGACTCCCGGGCCATCGGGATAAGCTACTGGCAGGCCGAAATGGTTTGTTTACCTCGCGTCCGCAAGCATAGAAGTAAACCTAAGTAAACAAAGTGTCCTGGCACGCCAGCGGCTTACCCTGATGGGCTGGGCAGCAACTGGTGGGGAAATTTTTTGGAGGAAGAAACTAGGGGTCAGGGGAGTAACCCCTGTGACC